TGGAATAATAATAATAATGATGCGCTACGTGCTGTGTATCCTCGCTCTCCTGCTCTCATGTGCGTGTGTGCACGTCCTCGCTGAAGAAGTGCCTGCCGCCGATCTTTCCGACCAAGTCCCTGATACGGAGAGTGAGACAAAGATTTTTCTTCAAGGTACTTGTCCTGCTGCTGGTACTTCTGAGCCTGGTTGTTCTGGTGGTGGTCATCCTCCTGGAACTACTTCTCCCTCAATCCCTGCTAATGTTAGTCCTGCGCTTCAGAATGACAGAAAAGAGGGTGTTGAGGATAGAATTCCTGTCACTGAAGCATTAGGTGAAGATAGGGGTGTGAATCGTCAAGACAATACTCAGGACAATTTACATGTTGCTGGTCAAAGAGAAACTGAACACCAACAACTTGCTGCTGCTTCAACTACAAGAACCAATCCTGCTGACAGTCTAACAGTGCAGGGTCACAATCACGATAGAGAGCAGACTCAAGACCGAACACATCAAGGAGGAGCGAATGTTTTATCACCGATAAAAGAAGTACAACCTTCTGTACACGGTGGAAAAGCAGAAGAGAAATCACAAGAGAATTCAAAGGAGCAGCTCACTCTGCAATCTAAAGGTAGTCCCAATGAGAACTCTGATGCGCCACAGAGATCTGGTCCCCAGGTGCAGGAAACATCGTCTGCAGGAACACAAGATGCCAACGAAAATAAGAATAATGCAGAAGACCAGAATGTATCAAGTGGAAGTACAACTACGAATAATGATTTACCAACACAATCTTCTTCATCAACATCTACTGAAACCCATTCTACACTTTCACCACAGGAAACTGAGGGGAATAATGAATCTGATCATAAAAACGCTGAGAGCGGCACTGCACCTGAAGGGAGTGGGTCACCAAACACCCAAAATGAGGGAGAAAATACAGATATCACAACCACCACCACCCCCACAACAACACTTCCTCCTGAACTCACAAACAACAAGAAGGGTGATGCAGACAGCAGCAGCAGTATCAGCAGTTCTGTGTGGGTGCGTGTACCACTACTGATTGTGGTTACACTGGCCTGTATTCTTGTGTGCTGATTGTAATGGTGTGGTAATGGTGTGACTCAGGTCATCCTTTGTTTACTTTTCTTCTTTTTTTGCATGTATCCACACTACAGTCTAACTAATCTTCCACCTGTTGGGATTTCTTTTTTTTGTTTCTTAATGATAATGTGTTTTGTGTGTTTTTGCTCTCTATGTTTATCCTATAATAATTATTATTGCTACTGCTCCATTGTGTGTGTGTGTTCTTGGAGAATCTCTGTTTGTGCACCTGGGCTTGCACCGTGATAATGATGATGAACTGTTTTGTTGCAGTGGGTAAATGTAAATAATAATAACAGATGAATATTTATATTTATAATGGCGTATATATACACATATAAACTTACACCCATAGTTGGTGTATGTTTCTGTGTGTTTACTGTGTAAGTTGGGCTAATAATTAATACATGATTCTTTGTTTCTTTGATGGTTTTGCTGTGTGGTTGTGCTATGACCCGTACTTTTTATGATGATATGTTTTGCGTAGAGAAAATAACAAATAATAAAAAATACATTTGTATTCATAATTGATTTTTAATTCGAACACACTGATATTTCTCTGAATTCTATTTTGGTGGGACCGCCTGCTATTATCTTAATTACTTTTTGGCTTTTTTGAGAAGTTTCTGTGGTGACGCATTACCGAAATGTTTATTGTTTTTCTTTAATAACTGTTGTTTTTCTTGTGTGCTTTTTTCCCTTTCCTTTCTCTTGTATTGTATCTTTTTTGTTTTTGCTCACCTTTCTGTTTTTTATTTATTTATTTAGCCAAGTGACCCAAACAAAAAAGGCCTCTTGTCGTGATGTTGTTACGTTTTGTGTTTTGTTTGTTGACTTTGCTTGTGAGCGTTGCCTGTGATTGTGTAACGGCAACTGGAGATGGTGGCACTGCTCTTGCTCTTCCTACCTCTTCTAAATCTGAATCTGGTAAATGTCCTCCAGAATCTCCCGGTGGTCCTCAGTGTACTCCTAAAGGTATTGAAACTGAGGACACTTCTAAAAAATGTGAGGATGACACTGAGGAAGGTAAATGCACTGACAGGGATAAAACCATTAAAGATAGTGAGGTTTTGGGGCGTGATAATGCGAAGAGCCGTTCTCCTGCTCTTGAGGCAAATGGTGATGGATTAAATAATGAAGTGTCGCTAAACGGTCCAAGTAAAGTGGTGGTAGAAAATGAAAGAGTTACGAATTTAGGTGACGTTGATCTGGAGAATCAAAAACATGACGAAAGTGAAAGAGGAAAACCACCACTAACTCCAGAGGATAGAACTCATAGGGAAACTACTCAATCAGAAGCTCATGTACAGACCCAAGCGCAACAAAGCGCACAACAAGGAATCCCTGGTTCTCCTCTAACGCAAGAGATCAGCACCGTGGTCAGCAACCCCAGGATTACAGGAGAACAGGGTACTGAAAGGAATGGTAATGCACTTAATACGGAATCCTCACCTCAAACAAATCCACACCAACAAGAAAATAATGAAATGCAATCATCTGGCACTGCTGGTGCTGATAATGCTGGTATTCCTGCATCAACTTCTCCAGCGGAAACTGAAAATACAAATGCATCTGATAGTGCAAACGCTTGGAGTGTCAGTACACCTGCAGAGAGTGAATCAACAAACACCCAAGCAAATAATACAGAGACACCCACCAC